AATAGAATATTCTAGTTTAATAGAATAATAGAATATTCTAGAATAATAGAATAATAGTCTTCTATTATGGACTCTTGATATGATGCTAATTACATTTATCGACAAATCATAGATAGTGATTGACCTACTCAGTGATTGGAGCTACAAACAGAAATCTGACTGATAGACAAGGGCAAAAGACCAATGTGTCTGTCCTACTATGCGTTGTAATGCGTACATAATGCGGTCAGTGAACAGAGAATGACAGCTCAGGGCACGAAAGATTGAATTCCCTGAGAATCTAAAATACCTTTCCCAGAATATCTGTTCTTTCTGTCATTCTAGTCACCCTAATGTATGCTGTTCACAGTGATTCAGCCATTAATAAACCACCATTTACGTGTTACACCCTGCATTTCTCCACGCCTATATTCGCTTCACACTCTTGTGTACTGATTTAGTGATTGTGATGTCAACCATGGCAAGTTGATCATAATTCTAGAAGTGGCACAAATCACACAGCATGTGAAACCCACAAGTTCTTTCATAGTTAATGCCTACAGGCATTAAGACAAATGCCTAAGACAACAATAAAAAGCAGAAAAAGAAATTAAATAACAAAAAACGCATTAAAAATTAAATACGCATTCATAGAAACAACTACAATCAATGCAAACCACTTAATCACATGCTGTTCTGCTATATAGAACAAGTGAAACATGTAAGCGAGGAACAGTAGTTGAAGAACAAGAAGAAACAAGCCCTCACCTCGGCAGGAACCAGCATAGGCTGCTTGCAGATTTGGCTTTCCTTCCTCTTTGGCACAGTCAAGTGTACATCGGGTACTGTAGGTTTTCCCATCGTTACCGCACACAGGATTATATTCCCTACTGCAGATGCATGGTGGGCGGCCGGCTGTACCTGCAACAATAAGCGATATTTTTAGGATCACGGAGCAAACTGCAACATCACACATGCAGGATCCTAATACATCAAATTTTTTGTATTATTCTTGTACTCACAGTATCACAACTCACCTCAGAAATAATAGCTGCGATTATTCACCCTAATATTCCATAATACGTGACGTCATACCTGGTGGTCCTGCTCTTCCAGGGACTGGGTCGATCACAGGAGCAGGACAGCATACTGCTGGTCTGTCTGCAAT